GCTATAGGGCACATATGCTCACCAGAGAGAAAGAGAGACAGAAAGTGAGAAATCACCCCCCAGGGGGTATGGCCACACCTCAATCCCTTCTCCTATTCTCAGGATTTTGGGCATGCACACATGCACCTGGCATGAGCTTCAAGTTGCCAGGTCTAGGGCTCAAACTGCAGTTGACTACGTGGGAGTACAACAACATAACCATTACACCATCTGCTGGCCCCTATTTATTATTCTTTTAGAGAGATTTTTTGCTATAGGGTGTGTGCGCTTGCTAGAGAGACAGAGAGAGTGACAGAGAGACAGAAAGTGAGAACTCACCTCCCACAGGGTATGGCCATGTCACAACTCTTCTCCAGTCTCCTCTCAGGATTTTGGGCAGGCACACACACACACCAAGGTCAGGACTCAAACCACAGTCAGCCATGTGGGAGCCCAGTGATATAACCTCTATGCCATCTTCTAGTTCCAAGAATTATTTAATTTTATTTAATACTATTATTCATTTTTTTAATTTGCTATAGGGTATGTGCATGCACGCACATGAAAGAAAGTGAGAAACCAAGTCACCAGGTCTGGGACTCAAACAGTGGTAGGCCATGTGGGAGTACAGTGCCTTAACCACCAAGCCTGTCTATAGCTTCTTTGTTAGCCTGCCCATTTCTGAACACCTTATAACAACTTAATATTTCTTCCAAGACACTTACATATTTTGTATTAGTCAGTCACCTTCCATACTTGCTATCCTCACCATTAGAGAACAAACTACCCAGCACCACACTAAGTACTACACATCTTTTCCTAAAAAGAGATACCATGTTCTTTCACGGAATGGAGAGAGGTACATAAAAGATCAAAACGCCCTGAGTTTAGCAACTGATGCTTGTCTCAAAGAGTGCCTAAACCTGTCTGTTTGCTGATAATTGGCTAATGTTTTAGGACAAAAAACAAATTAGTAATTTATGTATGCATTTACTATTCTGTTCAGTTTATTGTTTGGCTTTCAACAATTTATTGTTTCACTTTCAACAGATGGTTGGCATTCTTATTAGGTACTGTTTACACATCAAAAAGGTATTTTGTTAAGCTTACAAAGGTTTCATCTGCCAATTCGGTAGTTTATCAGTGTGTATAAAGATATGTGACTGAGTGAGTATACTGGAAAGGGAATAGTACTAACTATTCCTCAACTATTGGGTCCTCAGAAAACTCATGACTCATTCTTGCATAGAAAGACACAGAAAAATACTTCATGACTCTCCCAATGACCCAATACATAGTCTAAGGGATTTTCACTTCTGAAGTCCATACACATCTGCATAATTCTGAAAAGATAGGAAGACAACCACCTGAAATGTATTTTTATATAAAGAACTGAAAAGCCTCCTAGGAGTAAACTTAATATATTAGGCAAAGAGAAGTCTGAGTAGCTTCATCTAGAAATAAAGCCTTGGTGCTTAAAGGAGAAGAATAATTGTGAATGTTCCTAAACTTGGCATTATCTCTAACCCAGATCACCTTGGAATCAAATCTGGGTTCTAAGGAGAGGGTTATAAATAAAAACATCTGTTTACATTAAAACCAGTGACAGAGAAGACCGCAGACCATTTTGGAACCTTCTAAAGGTACATCACAGATAATCAACCATCAACACTGCAGAGCTTTAGCATCTCCGTATTATCAGCACTGGCATCACCAGCTGCATCTAGGAGCAACAAAAATGGACACAGAGGAGATTCCAGACAAGAGGAGCAACACCCAGCGAACCTGTCAATAGTTTATGCAGAGAAGGCAATCATAGGGCATGGCAAAACGTATAGAAGATAGTAAATAGTTGGAGAAGAAATGAAAAATGTAATATACTATTTTTTTTTTTTGGAGAGGTTTTTGCTATAGGGTGTGTGCACTCGCCATAAAGAGAGAGAGAGAGACAGAGACAGAAAACGAGAAATCACCCCCTGGGGGAATGGCCACGCTGCAATCTCCTTTCCTTCACTTTCTTCTTAGAATCCTGGGCACACATGCACACGTGCCCGGCATGAGTCCAAGCTGCTGAGTCTGGGACTCGAACAGTGATTGACTACATGGGAGTCCAGAGACATAGCCATTACACCAACTACTGGTCCTCAAAATGTAATATACCTTTATATACTAGGTCTGGTAGTTTACCAGACTTGTTACTAGAAATAGTTAAGACAGGGACCAGCAGTTAGCGTAATGGCTATGTTGCTGGACTCCCACGTAGTTGACTGCGGTTCGTGTCCAGGACCCGGTGGCTTAAAACTCATGCCGGGAGCGTGTGCGTGTGTGCCCAAGATCCTGAGAGGAGAATGGAGAAGGGATTGCAGTGTAGCCATCCCCCCTGGGCGGTGATTTCTCGCTTTCTGTCTCTCTGTCTCTCTTTCTGTCTGGTGAGCGCAAGCGCCCTATAGTGAAAACCTCTCCAGAAATAAAAGAAATAGCTAAGACGTCTCTTCACCATCCTAGAAAGAACCAAAGGGTTCTGCCAGCATCTGGGGTGTCATTTTAAGGGGCAAGGACCAGCAGGTGGCATGGTGGTTAAGGTGCTGGACACTCCCACATGGCCAACCACGGTTTGAGTCCCGGACCTCCTGGCGGCTTCCTTTATCCCTTTCTCTCTCTCTCTCTCTCGCCAAATAAAAATAAATGAATGAATAAATAAAATTAAATAAATAATAATTTTAAAAAAGAAAAGAGGCAAAAATATTAGTGAAGCATATAGCACAAAGATCAGAGCTGATTTAATAATATGATCAAGGTATGAGAGAGAGAGAGACATCAAAGTCTTAAACTAAGAATGTTACAGGTGGGGCCAGCAAGTAGAGCACTGGTTAAGGCTCTGGACTCTGCTGATAACTGACTAAAATTTAAGGACAAAAAAACAAATCAGTGGGAACCAGCAGTTGGCGTAGTGGCTATGTCACTGGACTCCCACGTGGTCGACTGCGGTTCGCATCCCGGACCCGGTGGCTTAAGACTCGCACCGGACGCGTGTGCGTGCGTGCCCAGGATCCCGAGGGGAGAGTGGAGGAGAGGGGACTGCGGTGTGACCATCCCCCCTGGGGGGTGATTTCTCGCTTTGTCTCTATGTCTCTGACTGGCGGGCGCAGGCGCCCTATAGTGAAAACCTCTCAAAAAAAAAAAATTAGTAATTTATGTATGTATTTACTATCCTGTTCAGATTACTATTTAGCTTTCTCTTTTTTTTTAAAATTTTTTTTTACTAATTCATTTATTTATTTTAATTTGACCAGGCAGTGTGAGAGAGAGAGAAGTGAGAAACCAAGTTACCAGGTACAGGAGTTGAACTGTGGTCAGCCATGTGGGAGTGTCCAGCGCTTTCACCACCATACCACCTACTGGTCCCACTGTTTAGCTTTCAATATGGCTGATCACAGTTCAAATCTCAGACCAGCAGGCTTGGCCAAACACATGGGTGTGGGTGCCCAAAATTCCAGGAGGACAGTGGAGGAGAAGGGATGACAGAATGAAGGAGAAGAGATTGTGGTGTGGCCATCCCCCTGAGGGTGATTTCTCACTTTCCTTCTCACTATCTCTCCCCAGTGAGGGCACACATGTTGTACCCTATGGCAAAAACCTTTAAAAAAAAAAAAAAAGTGTGTTAGGAAAATACTATTTAGAAAGATAAGACTATTCCTCAAATCTGCAACGTAGTCATTTCTGTTAATCTACACTGAAGATGATTACACTTTATATGGATATTTGCTTTAAAATTAAGATACTTTTTTTAAAAAGAATTATTTAATTTTATTTATTCATTCATTTATTTTATTTTATTTTTATTTGACCAGAGAGAGAGACAGAGAGAGAGAGAGAGGGAGAGAGAGGGAAAGTGAGAAAGCAAGCCACCAGCAAACCATGGTTGGCCATGTGGAAGTGTCCAGCACCTTAACCACCATGCCACCTGCTGGTCCCCTAAAATTAAGATACTTCTGACTTTATGAAAACATTTAATTATTTTAATAACTAAAAACTTCTAAATGTTCCTCATTTAGACATTTTAAAACAGCTAAAATTAGAATACCCACAGAAATCATTCTCAGAATAACAACTAATATGAAAAATGTCATCCAAGGAACTAAAGAATGGAGGTCATATTGGACTGCAGGTGGCATGGAGGTTAAAGGTGCTAGGCTCCCCACATGGCTAACCACGGTTCAAGTTCCAAACCTGGTAGCTTGCTTTCTCACTTTCCCTCTTCTCTATCTCTTTCTGATCAAATTGAAAATGATAATGATAAATAAAGTTAAGTAGAATAATTGAAAATTACCCCCCCAAAAAAAAGAATGGAGATAATGCTAAAATTTAATTTCCACACAATAAATATTTTACTGAAAATGATAATGTGTACTTATCTTTCCCTTAAGTTCTCAAAATGTATTAGGAAAACATCTTTAAAAACAAACAAAACTAGGTAAATAGGTGAATAAAAAATGTAAATGGTTTGGTAGCCCAGATCTCATTTCTCTACCTGTCTGTTTCACTGGGAGCAATACTAAGTCTCATTCTAGCAAGATGGGAGGTGGGGATGTCATAGCAATGTGGAAGCTGCAGACACTGAGGAAGAAAGAGAAGAAAGGAAAAATCAAGAAAGGATAGGGGGTTGGGAGGAAAATATGGAAAAGTGACTCCCAAAATACTGAGTATTAACCCTATATTATACAGATTCTGCAGACCACCTGAACTTCTTTCAAAGGCTGACAAAGGCTGCCGACTCTGCATTTCTAGATAGCATGGACATCTCTGATAGGCGGGCCACGACAAAGCTCTCACTAGCCCAAAGAACAGCGCTGGGGCATGCCACAATCTCCGGGTAGTTTCCTCACCACAATCCCATGGCCAAAAATAACCTCCTAGTGAAATGTAGTACGCCAAGTACTTAAGGTATCAGTTAAATTTCCTTCTCTTCTTTATGAATTTGTATTATTTATAAGACATTTGACACATGTTTAAACACTTACAAAGCTCCTCCGTCTCAGGAAACCGGGCTTGTTCAGCTGAAGGGGAAAAAAGCATGTAATGAGGGAGTTAACAAGGCCTGATATTTTTTTACAACATTCTTTAAAAACTGAAAAACCTCTTTAAACACCAGGAACAGCTTAAATAATTCACTCTTGGCCTGTGGGACCCATGTGGACAGTTCCCTGTCCCTTTGTGGCCGCATTCTCTCGCGGTTCACCAGCCAGAACCCGGCCAGAACTGGGCTCATCCCCACCAGCCTCTCCCTCCCGGGCCCAGGTGCCCTGCGCTGTGCGGGCGCCACTCCGGGCCCCGGACACCCGAGCCCCGGAAGCCAGCCCAGCCGCGGCCTTTGACCCTGGGCGCAGAGGATGCCGGGAGTAGGCGGAAGTAAGGCCCTTGAGGCCCTCGCGGCCTGGAGGGAGCCGCCTTAAGGCCCCCGGGCCAGGTCTGGGCCGCCAGCGGGGGCGATATCGGAGGCTCCCAGGCTTTGGCCCACCGTGGGGACTTGTCGTGCCGCTGGAAAGACTCCTGGCGTGCTCACTGGCCTTTGCCACCGTCCCTCCGGCCCTCAGCGGGCAGGAAAGGACCCCACCACCCCGAGGGCCCTAGCCATGGCTCCCAGGAGGCCTGTAGGCCGGGTTTGGCGACTGGAGGCCTCCTTTACGCGATGCAGTTGACGCGAGCTGTTTTCTCGAGTCCCCCACGTCCCCGACTGGCCGTGGATTGGGAAGGGCTGGGCTGCCGCGAGGGAAGCACCTGCCCCCGCCCACCTGGGCCCCGGGGCCGCCGCCCTCCCGCCCGACGCGGAGACCCCGGCACCCGTCCTGGGCCAAAAGCGCAGAGGGCTCAGGGAGGCGAAACGGAAATCTCGCGGCCTTCGAATGCTCGCCTGCCTGAAGCAACTCGGGTACCCTCGCTCGAGACCCGGTGCCCAGGGCAGGAGGGAGGGAGTTGGATGCTCCCAAGGAGGGAGTCTCCACGGAGGAATTCGTCCTGCTTCACTTCCAGAGTTGAAAGCCCGGAGGCCGTCGGTTCTGCAAAGAGGGGCAGTCGGGCGCGGGCTAGCAAGCAGCTGATGAAAATAATTGTCTTTGCATACACAGCCCTGCGCCCAGGGGCGCGCGTGCTCACACACACACACACACACACACACACTTTGACTCTAGCTGCCCAACCTTAGTATTCTGGGCATGCAGTTTTTAACAACTTGCTTGACACTGTAACAAAGACATTTAAATGCCAGGACGCAGACTTCACTTTTTAACCTGCTGAGAGGAGATACTTTCAAAGCTCCCCTACCGCGAATAAACTGACAAAAAATATGGGGTGCACTTATAAATTAAACACCTTATCCTCAAAGCAACGTGCGTTAATCAGGTTTCTAAGGCAGTAGTCATCTCTGTCTTTTCCTATTCACCCAAATAATGTCCCAAGAAGGAACCTCTTTACACAAGAGTGAGCTGGGGGAAAAAATGAATTATACCCATTGCTAGTAAAAATCATCTTAAATCAATAGAGCACCACTTGAACTTGAGTTTCCATTGTTTCACTGAATCATCAATGTTTTTAATTAAACAGAGCTCCCCTTTCTGTTAAAACATTACATAAAAGGGTTAGGTTTCTACTTTTGTTGAGGCAGCTGGCGTTTGTTGGCTGTTGTGTTTGAGCAACAGACTGTTCAATAGAAGCGAGAAATAGCTCAACGCGCTCTTAATAGACCTGTTTCAACAATGTACCTTGAAAAGGAATACATTGTGTTATTGTGTTAGTTTGCTACAAACCTATTAAAAGAAAAATAGCATCCATCAGGTCTAACAAAACGCATTTGTATTATATGTACTTATCTGCCTCAAATACACTTCTTGGCACAATGTCTAGAATTCAACTAGATCATCAAGAGCTGAACGGAAGAACGCAGACCAGTTAGGTAATGATACCCTGGCTAAAAATAATAATAAAGGAAGGTCTAAGCAGACAGTAAGGGCTACTTTTTATTTGTTTATCATGAGAAAAACAGGCACCCCTACTCCCATTGAAAATACATTGCGAAAATGTGGTCCTACAACAAAAACAATTTTTAAAATATTTGTAGCATGGGAATATTGATCCAAACCCCATATTTGAAACGAATCTGATATACTTTTGGTAGCAATTTGTTACAGAGAAAGATTCAGGGCAGAAGCAATGCATTTTTAAAGCAGAATTAAACAGCGCAAAGAGCCGGGTTCTTTAGGGAAATGCGTGAAACAAACAAATCGAAAGCAAGGGTTCCAGCCAAGAGGTTGAGAAGCAGCGCTGTCTGGCAGTAGGAAAGGAAGTGTTTCTTGAAAGTGCTCTCTTAAAAATGATTTTAAAACATATTTTACAGTATTTTTGACACATAGTGAAATGAAGCAAAGCAATAGGCAATCTTCCTGCTATCTGAAAGAACCTATGGTCTGTTACAGGGAGGGCTGCCATTTGGACCACAACTCTAGGAAAAAAACAGAGAAGCAAATGATGAGGCTAATTTAGCTCTGAGATCTGCTTAGCAGAAAAAACACCCAAAGTAGCTTCTGTCAAAGGGAAACATCTTTTGCTTCCGCACAAGACACTCAGTTGGGTTTCCAACCTGGATGGATAGCCAACATTCAGCTTTCAAGTGCAAGAATGTTGGGGGTACAAGAAACTAGAAGATTGTCTACAAGTGAATTCAATTGTACAGAAAAGAAAACTTACCTAAGTTACTACAGCACCTTACATAAGATGTGACATTAACAAATAGACATAGACAAAGCAATAGTTGGCCCATTGAAATCAATCATTTTTGTAACAATTCTGAATTAGTAAATTATCTCATGAAAAAAATTTAAACATCCTCTGAAACTTTGATGATAGTTTTACCATGATAGTGATAGTTTTTTACAAAATAGCTGTTAGATTTTTCTAGAAGACATTTGAAGTCAGAGGGCTGATAAGATGCTGTCTTCAATTGAAACATTTTCTCTTCTGAAGAAAGGTGTGTGTGTGTGTGTGTGTGTGTGTGTGTGTTCAAAGGTACTTGAGATGCATTTGATTCATTCTTTAAGACTTTTCACTGATTTCTCCCCTCTAATCCAAATCTACTTTTCAAATTAATTCATTTAGACTTTAAAACATAAAAGGAAAAGCATAAACTCAGAATTACATATCACAAAATTAGCTTCCCACATCTATAAAACTGATGGAGGAAGTGACATTTTTGAGGTGATAATTTTATCCAATAACCTACAAAATAAGAAAGAAAACTCACAATAAATTGCTTTGGTCTTCATATGAAATGTTGCTGAGGCTTTATAAAGTAATTTCCATTTAGAACTTTTAGAAATTTTTTGTGTGTGTGTGATGTTATCTCAAGGAAAATAGTCAATGCATTTTTAATTTGAAGAGCATGTTCACATAAACAAAGAATCACCAAAAAAGTGAATTTGAAAACTCAGCAAAAGAAATGTATTGTAGAGGAAAACTGTAATCTGATTCTTTGTTTTGTTCTTGGACTTGAAAATCCTTAATTCTCCACCCTTGCAAAGAATTTTCAATGGTATAGGAAGGCTATTTTTAAAATTCATTTCTCTACAGTGAAAAAAAAAAATCCTAATAGCATGTACTACAATTTGTCTCCCCTAAAAGATAGGAATCACATAAAGATTATTTTCTGTAACTACCCCTCCCCCAGATTTTTCCTAGAAAGAGACTCTGCTCTGTTATCTTATTATTACTAATATCTGGGAAATTTTTAACTGATCAAATCATTAAAAATATCTTTACTACCGTTGATCCTAAAAAGCATCTAATTTGCAATGTTTTGCATAGTTCATTTTCAAAGCATCAAGTCTCTTTATGGTTCTTGATAGGCAAATGAGTATCATTTCAGATTTCCTCTTTCTTCTTTTCCCTTAAGCTCAGCAATATGGGAAATAAGAGAAGTTAATATTTTTAAAAACATTTCTGCCACACGCAATTGTTTCAGTGTCATTTTCTGATGTTGTGTCTGAAAAACGGGTGGCCGATCCTGCTGCCCGCAGCGCCAGACATTCAGCCAGATCCACCCCTGGGCACAGTCGTCAGAGGGAAAAGATTCAGCTTCCAAACTTGATTAAAAACAGCCCAACAGTTTCTGTCCCGTTAAAGAACTATGTGGTTGTAGAGGCTGAGTAAATTGCCTGAGAGAGAAGGTGGCAGAGGTCTATGTCTTTTTCATTTGGGAGCAGGGAGAAGCTTGAAAAAAGCAGTCAGATAGTGAGCTGCAGAAGGGCAGCTTGTCCACCAAAATCCGCAGTTAAAATCCACTTTGACTGGATTTAAGTGTTGAGAAAGAGTCTACCTTGTAATTTTCCACCTTAATTTGAAGTGAAAAAGGAAACATATGTACACTCCAAAGACTTCCAGAGATGCTTGGGAATTGTTAACTTGTTTCTGAGTTACTGAGAGACCTTTTGTTTTTCATTTGGCAAATATTTCAAAATATCCTTCTCCCCTGAAAGTTACATTTTGGAAGATATAATTAAAAGAGAAAGACTAAGATGGAAAACCAAAGTGGAGTGAGGAGTGGGTAGGTTGGTGAATAAAGCAGATGCCTGTCAGCATCTTCTTAATGATATGTTGTTATTTTTTGGCTTGTGATGTTTTTATGGTAAAAACTAAGACATCCAAACAAGAATCCAAATATGAACAGAAGTGGGAGGTTTTCTGGCGTGTACCAACAATAAAATAAAACCTGTGTCTGTATGCGCCTGTGTGTTCTTCAATTCAAATTTCATTCCTGAAAGTGGTGCAATTTGTTACTTTTTTTGTGGGCACAGGAGGAGGAAAATATGATACATTTGGGGATTTTTCAGTAGAGCTGTGTTTAGTTTTAATTTTCCTGTATTTTAAAATAAACACTTTGACCAAAGCATGTTTGATCTTTGCAAGAAGGAAGTATACATTGTGAAGGAATGTGCCGCGGTTGGGTATGAAAATGGGGTTGTGACTCACAGCTGCAGGCAGAAAAAAAAGGCGTCGTGGTGTCAGCCAGAGGTGTTCAGTCTAATAATTCAAGCTGTAAACTGTATCCCCTAAAATTACCTACATAATAAATCATTGTGTGAGGGTAAAAAAAAAGTTTGGACTGAAAAGTGTAAGTGAAACAGAATCCCCAGGAGACTTCAAGGCTGGGACCTATTGGCAATGATGTGAAATATGGGCTTACT